CTAATTTTTGTGGTATTTGTGTGGGTTGAGCTACGCAATGAGAAAACGCCATGTTGTTGAAGTGCCAACTTGCTTTTAAACACTGGCACCACTAGGTTAGAGCTGTTAACTGTCACCACTCGAGCCAAAAACCAAACCAAACCAAAAGCTGCCACTGTAGAAGGGCAAAAGCCTGCTCTGAAAAATGAGGTACATGAAAATACAGCTACAGCGATACAAACCTAGAGAGGTTTGCATAAAGCACATCGAGTTCCATTGCACCAGCTCCTTTAGGGAAAAGGTTTGCAAATGTATATCCAAAGCAAGTGTTAAACTACAGCTCTGTATCGCTTCAGTTTAGGAGCTAGTGTGACATTTGATTCTTATTTTCCAGGTAACATGCTAATATTCACTGAAAAACAGCAATTATGGAGCAACAGTCATATATACGTACATATTTGTAACTTCACCTTCAAGTAGGTCATGGAAGATATATTTATGCTGATAAAATTACTCCAAGGGCAGCTACACGCATTCTGCATGTACTGCTGAAGAATGGCATTATCCATTAGACTTAAGAAAATCTTTTACAGAGCAGTTTCATTTCTGAAAATGGAAATTCATTAAAAATTAGAACGAGAATTAAAGAAGCTTGAATTAAGTCCAGCCTTCAGATTATTCCCCTAAGGAAAAAAAAAAAAAAAAGTACTATTTCTATTCTAACCATTTGACTTGACAAGGAAAAGTTACTTAGGAATGTTTTACTGATGAAACAAAGAGGCCCAGACATTGTAGCAAAGAATTAAATATAATTACATCATAAAAAGACAGACTTGAAACTTCAAAATAACTTGGAAGAAAGATTATGTCTGTAAGCAAGTACTAGGACAGACATAATGTGATTCAAAAACTAAGCAATTAGCTAAACTTTCAAATTCATTAGAGGCTTATTAACCTCAGCTGTCTGGAGAAGCTGTCGATCCATGGATTCACGTGACTCCATGTATTTAACCTTCTGTTTTCCATCCAGAAACAGGTACCAATGGTGCGAAACAAACAGCAGAACTCACAAAGCTCAGAGATCCTCAAGTACGTTAATGCCCTCGTGGGAACCTGAACAGAGGCAAACACAGAAACAGCTGAGATCACAAAAGAAACCAAAAGACAACTCAGAACTGGATGGTTAACGTGCAAAAAAAGTTGCTGTATCTCCACCTCTGCATTTGCATTTCAAGTTTGGATCTAGGGCATTCGAGTTAAGTGTTTGGGTTTTCACACAGAACAAGAACGAGTTCTCTCCTTGACAAATCTGTGGTACTATGCACAGCTCTATCCTTCCTCTTAGGTCTGGGGTTTTAAATTTAAAGCCCTCAAAATATTACAGGCGGTTGTGGTGCTGGAAGAAGGAACTTTGACTGCTGAGGTCTACTCACACCTCCTTAACCAGCTGAGACCAGGCAGCCAAACTACATCCCTAACTCTACAAGAAAGTAAGAGACAGAATCTTAAGAAACTGTTCTTTAGCATTTTTAAATGGCCAACCATGCAGTAATTTAGATTACCCCTGCCCTGGAACAATCCTGCTGCACTGAAAAATGGATAGGACAACAGCAACAATGTCATGATAGCATCTATTTTTCGGAGTGTATCTCAAGTATTTAGGTACCAACAACGCACTAATGAACACAGTCCAAAGGTTATTTCTCTACGAGATTTGATTAGGAAATGAATTTTCCCCCATCATAAAAGAAATCGCTTTCTCATTGAAAGACTAAACATTTTCAGAATTGTTTCAATGAAAACCCAAATATTTTCACCACATACACTTTCCATACAAATATTTACAGATTTAAGTTAAAACTCTTTCTTCATAAAACCAGCTCAAGCTATCGTATTTACATGATATCTTAAAAGGTATTATTCTACCCTAGCATTTCACATCGAGAAAGCATTTGCAAGGCGGCTTTGTTGGCATTTCTGTACCATAGGATTCTGATCAGAAGAGAAATCCCTCAATGTTGGCTTGAGGCAATCCACGTTTAGAAGAAACAGCCCAACAGATCTCTAGCCCCTCTATACAAAACTGCTGAGAACTTCTACTTCATTCCAGTTGTGTGGGTCCCCTGCCTCCACCTTGTGCTCACATAATATCCTTACAGTAACGGCAGCAATCACTTTCATGTAAAATAATACTATTAATGTTATATGCAACGAATTTGTAGCTTCTCATTCGCTAAATGAAACCCAGCGACTAAACCCAAAGGTCAGTGTTGTATGACAGCACAGGAGCAGACCAACGGGGAGAGTTTTGCTGACGGGTGGAAAAGGCTGGGGAACTTCAGTGCTGACATTTCTACTATGTCCGTTCTAGCCCCAACAGTTGTGACGACGCATGCCCTTCGCTGAAAACATCTTTCTGGCCTTGTGCAGACTCTGCTTCGGAAGCTCTGCTCTTCTGATCGGTCTCAGAAGCCAAGCTTCCCTTGCACAGTTGTCTTTGATCGTGAAAACGGTAGGATGGCTTTTGTTAATAAAAAGACTAAGCATTGAGTTGTTGTTTTTTTTTTTTTTAATTTGACAGCAAATATAAAAGAGCTTAAAAAGAATCTGTAACCCTCTTCTGAAAACTCTGTAAGCATGCAGGTCTTCATTTAAACTGAATAACTGTTCAAGTCTGACTCTTGGGATGGTTTTGCGCGCCAGATTTAGACCACCTACATTTAACTGTCTCCATATACATTAGATGTCAAAATCCCTAGTAAATTCCATGGAAATCTAGTATATATTTGGGGTTTACATATACATATCTATATATATGACATATCCAACAGAGTTTACTCATCAGCAGATATCCTGCCCCCACCCCAAGGGCTGGGCACCTCAGCAGCCTTGGAGGTTCCACTGGTGCAATCTGCACAGCCTTGAAAAAGAGCAACGTCCCCAGCACAGCCCAGACCCCTAAATATAGGGGCAGGAGGGGGGGTATCTCAAACTCATGCTTAATATCTAGCTACTCTTTTCATGCCAAAGAAAAACCCAAGCCCTTCCCCAGAGAGTGGGGGATTCCCTACATATGGGTGAAAACAGAATGAATGAATGAGATTTAGTATTAGAATCAAATGTTCAACTTCTTAAAATGTCAAATACTTCTCTCCTGTTGCTTTATTCACATACCCACTGATTTCACCAGCAAAAGAAAGAAGAAAATTAGGATTACGCTGTGATTTCCTGGACAAGTTAAAGAGGCCGTGCAGCTTGGCACGTTAGTCATTAAAACTGACCCTTTTCGCAAGACAATTGTACAAAAATGCCTTTGTTGTCATGAATTACAGATCCACGTCCTTCCTGTTGACTACATCATTGAATTCCATGGTAAGACCTTCTCACCCATAAATCTCGCTACGCAGCAAATTTGAAAACTTACCAGCAATTCTCAAGTGTTCAGATGAGAACATGCGCGCTGAACGCCTGTGTAGCAGTACAGCACAGAAATTCAGAGCCCAGCTTTTCAGAATCAAAACTGGAGGCCTCGATCCAGCAGCAGAAGCTATTTTAGCTCCAGTTTTCTTTTCAAATCACCAACACCAATGAAGAACCCATACCAATTCTTAGAAATCATATTTTAAACACTCTATGGAAGTTTCCTCTCCAGGGTTTAAGAACTGTCTACCATGATCAACTTGATCCTGTGGCATTTAACTCATAAATAAGAAAAAAAATAGATTTTTTTTTTACTAAAGAAAGTAAAGTTCTGACCATTCTCAGAGACACCGCTTCTGACCATCAGCCCTCCGTGAAAGTCCCAGACCTTGGACCTACAGGTATCCACGCTGAGTTGCTGACACAGATGACCTCTGAAGAAGGACCATGCCTGAACGGCCTGGCTGGAAGCAGGAGCGGTGAAATGCCAGCCCCAGGAACAGGCTACGCTCAATACCGAAGCACGAAGGCCCGAGGTGGAAAGCTTCCACCTGTGCAACCGACTGTCTTTAGGGAAAGCAACTGACATACAGGTTCACTGGAGGAAGTTTATCCACGCAAAGGGAGGAAGGACATGAAGTGCATCTCTGAGACAAAACGCACATTTGGCCCCTTGCTACCACTTAGGTTGAAGCCAAAAGCCAGATTAAAAGATGCACGGGTTGTATTTTGCTTCTTTATTGCTATGGTTCTCTGCTATTGTTTTCTATAATATACATTTTTGTGCTGTTGTGCCTGTGTGACCATCTTGCTTACATCCATGTTTTCATAAATCCGCTTCTATTTATCTCTGAAACAGCTACTCTACAGGCTTCTCCTTCCAGCACGTTTTACTACTGGTAACTTGTGATAAGCATGAGGTCAACAGAACTGGTGGGTTTCATATGCTGTGTGTATCCTTAATATTCAAAGGACTAGTCAAAGGAAAAGCTTGTTCCATCCTGCAAGACTGTTACCGACAACCACCCACAACGTGGGTTGAAGCATCAGGTCACCCAACTAAAGGTACACATTCTGTACGACAGACGGTTTTGTCCTCGCATTAGATCTTAGCACCACAGCAGCATTTAGCCGCCCCGTTCCGTGTCTCGGTATTAAATCATCCACAGAGCTGTGCTTTGGTGGTTTATGGTTTTAACCTCAGCTCAGATTCAAATGAAACTCAGCAGCACAAAAAACAGGTTTATTTTAGTCCGATAGTAAGTCAGCCAATCAAAATACAAATTTAAGCCAAATACAAAGTTCTACGAAGTACAAGATGCCTTTGTATTTAACGTTGCTTGTTTCACCAAAAAAAAATAAAGCAAAGCTTTATTCACTAGTGTCCAATAAACCCAAGAATCTCAGCTTCTGTTACCTCATTATTTTGCTCTACAAGTCATTTGTTTAGTAAAGCGATTCCTTTGGAGACAGCTGATACCATTATCACGGTCCAAAAGAGTAGGAACTATTACAGATGTGTGATACCATTTTAATAAAGCAAAATATTTAAATTTTGTAATGAGCATACCCAGGGTTTTCTTTCAGTACTCCAGAACATCCTAAGCAGAAGGCTTACTTCGTTTGGCTTTCTTTAACTTTGAACAACCTTCTTCTTTCTGCTAACAAAAAAAAAAACCACACAGAAAGGCAAAAAACAGGAAAGCAAACAAAGCAGCAGCGCCGAGCTAACAGCTCAACTCAAGGTGGTTTCTGAGTGAAATACTTCGTTAAATGAGATGAGAAGTAATTAACAGAAGTTTCTATTTTCCAACATAAATATGATTTAAAGTATGTTTGTATGTACAGTGGGTAAATAATTAAAACCAGAGCTATTCGGAAAATATCCTTTTACATGCTGGCAGCCAAGATTTTCAAAACCAACTGATCTTTTTTGGTGTCCAAACGTGAGACAATGACAAAGGCTTACTCTTCAGAGAAGTGTTGAGCAGTGTGCCCAGTCAGCACCACTGTATTTTTATCTGGAGAGAGGAGGAGTCAGACTAATGAGCACTGGAGAGTCCATCCCTACCCCAACTAATGAAGTCTCTCTCCTATTCCTGAGACTCCAGCTGAAGCTCCCGAAGAGCAGCCCATCCACCTCGCTTGGCGCCCGCAGCGGCAGCGCTGCACTGGCAGCGGGGCGGGCAGGCAGGGAGCACCGCCTGTCTCCTGCTGCTTCCCAAAAGTAGCTTGCAGGGCTCAGGCTGGTGCCTGGGCGACTCACAGCCCGCCTGGAGAGACAGGAGTGGCCGTGGGTTACTTGTGAGTCATCACCGGGATGCGACAGTGCCCCTTCCCCACCCCAGGAGCGATGCTGGACCCGCTACCAGCTCTCTGCTCGCCCCATCTGCCCAAGCTGTAGGGCTACCTCCGTGCTCACAAGCCCTCACGCGGCTGAGTCGCTCCCCATGTGCAAGAGTCGGTCCGAAAACAGCATTGCCTCAACCTTGTCATCAGGAACACGGACTCCAAAAGTTAGGCTAACATCTTCAGGCAAAGGACTTTAGCACTGAATTTGTCCCGTGGTGGAAGTCTCCCCTCGGTACTCGGACCCTTGGGGTTGTTATTGTTAAAACCAGTTATTTTTAGTTGCTGGTTTTCTTTTCTTCTCTGGGAGGCTGACTCCTGCCTACTGCTGCAGCATCGTGGTGCTGGGGCTGTACCCCGTGACTCAGTCGTGGCCCTGCGGAAGGGCCTGTCCCGGCTGCGGGGGGACGATGATAGATGACATGACGACAGATAAAATTTAATGTTAACAAAGGAAAATTAAGCGGAAGAAGCTGAATTATGGATATATACTCTAAAGTTCTTAATCAGCATTTCACAAGTATGTTGACCCGGTAAGCGTGTACATCGCAACACATGACCAGGCAAAGGCACCTCAGGTCAAGGACGGGTGATGAGACCTCAGGTGGTCACGCTCGAAATGAAATAGAAAAGGCAAAGGAACTGGGGTGAAAAGGGAGTTCAGTGCGTGCAACTTTCCCCCCTCAGCTTACTCCGTCGGGTTATTGCACAGCGTTTTCAGCCGGCTGCTGGCAGAAATAGTGCACACACATCTGTGCAGGAAAATGCAGTTGTGCTGAGCGTTGGAGGCGTGGGACCTGCTCCTTCTAACGGGCTCATTTCTGGGTGGCAAAGACAGAGCGAATGGGGTCGTAAGGAGAAGGAGGTGGAAGATACAACGGAGTTTTAAAGAACTGCTATTTAGAAACGGAAGCGTAGCCCAGTGGTAGGTAACAGCAAGATTTAAGAATCATGAAAAAATACTTTGAAGAGAAATTTAAAAGTGCACCCTGCTATCGTTAGAGAAGCATCCACAGAAAAAAAGGATATATGTAAAAAACCATATTAGGAATTTACCTTATTGCTGCTGCTGCTGCTGCCCCCACCAATAGCAACTTAAATATATTAAAAAATTAAGGGAATATAACTTCTAAAAATTCAGAATGAATTATAAATAGCCTGTCGGAACTAATTTCTACAGACTGTTGCTGAATTCAAGCACTGCAGATGAGGCACAGAGGCATTGAGAATGCCCATGGCTATACCAGGCAGGAGAAAACTGTTTTCTGCAGAATCAGAAAAGCTGCTTCAGAAACCTGTTTACATCATGTAACGTCATTAAAGGCTTTCACCTTGGCAGTGTCTTTTGCAGGAGATAAACATTGTAAATGCACGCTTGAAGCAACAGTAACGCAGCCCATGGTTAGGGTTAATTTTATCCTGGTTAAGGTTCATTTTATCCAGAACAGGCTCAGTAAGGTTTGTTGTTTTCCCTCTTAACTGGAACATGCTAAAATGAAAAGAATTCTAATTTCCTTTTTAACTCTTAATTCAGGTCCTTGTAGACTAGATTAAGGGGGGGTGGGATTTTTACCTGTCTTCTTCTGGCACAAGCTTTCCTTACAGGTACTTCCATGCTGCTCTCCTTGACTGAGGAAGTTGGCTTTGAGGTCAATGTTTCACACGTCAGATACTCGCTCCCTGTCATCACCTTAAAGGATAGAAGTTTATACCTTCATTAGAAAAAAACCCCACATTTTTCTGCTTGTTAAAATGACCTACTTTTTCAAAAGGTGCCCTCATAACACGAAGTTGAACTAACCCACCAAACCACATTTTATAGGTGAACAAAGTGATAAGCACAGCACATTTCACTGATGTGCCCAAGTTGTGGGGGGCCATCCTCACAGAAATTGCCCTGAAATCAGCTCAGCTATTTATTTTATTGAAATGCAGATAGCATCATGGAAAATGTAGGTTATAAAGTACCTCTGCAGTCATCTAATCACAACTTTTACTGCAAATAGAGCTAACTCCAAAGTCAGATCTCACGGCTCTGGGCCCCATCCAGTCAAGTGTTGAGGATCTGAAAGGGTAACAACTCCACCACCCCTCTGTGCAACTTGTTGCGGTACTTAACTGCTCTCACTCTGCAGATTAGTTTTCCCTTATGCCCAGTGTGATTTTTTCCTGTTGCAACCTGTGCTTTCAGTGAAACTGTAATTGAAGTTGTATTTGCAAAGCCCCCATGTTTGTCTGGCAGCGACAGCCGTGCACGCACTGCAGGCGACACTGCGCAACCGCAGAGGTTTGAGATTCCTGCCAGGAGCTGTTCATTAATATCATTTCACAGGAAGATCGACTGAACACTGACAATTTCACCATGTTAACCTCACACAAATCTTGATAAACTGTCTTAAAGAAAGGAAAACTAATTATCCTACGCTGAAAGTCCCAAATAAAAGAAGTGTGTCTCAGACAGCACAGCAAATCATCTTCCCCTCAAAAAAGAAAAAGCAGCAGCGGCTGAAAACATTAACTTGAGCAGCAGAAATTTTAGAAAACTGTATTGAGAATGAGGGTAGAACATGATGAAAGTCATGCTCTTTATTGCTTCACGTTGGTCTGGAATACACTGACTTTGTGAGACGCCGTGAGAAGGAGCCGTGTTACTTGCCGTACCTGTTCCACGTTAGATTCAGAACAAGGACTTGCTGTCGCAGCGATGCAGCCCCTGGAACGGCACGCCGCTCTCTTGTCTTCCATTCTGGCAATGCCTATTGCATCATTTAAGACAGATTCATGAATATTTAACCGTACTCCTTCATTTGATCTCTTCGTTTGTTGCTGCGAGAACCCAAAATTTGTCATTCCGTCGTCTAATTTACAAATCTGCAAAGGCGCTTGCTTTGACTGGTGGTGTTTCTCAGGAACTTGTGTGGTATTTTGACTTGCAAACTTTTTCCCCCTTCTCGCGCTGGAAGTAGGAGATGGATGTGCACTCAGATTGGTGTTGGATTTCGGAAGCACTGACCCAACGTTCTTAAGAAAGAAAGGAGAATTTGCCTTTTGGTGACTGACTGCACTTGAATTCCCACCCGAAGGTGAGTTGTCAGAAAAATCAGGATTAGTTGTTCGTCCACGAGACTCGGTTTTCCATCGAAATACAGGTATTCCACGTTTTGTGTATGTTTTCGCGTTCATTACCTGAAGCACCCTGCTATGAGCCGGATCTTTGACTGACATATTTCGAACAGGCTGGTAAACCTGAGCTGTGCTGGACTGGCACACGCTCAGCGTGGAGGATGAAACACCCATAATGTTTATTGGTGAATGTCTTTCAGCATTTTCTCTTCTCTCCCCATCCAGTTGATCTGTGGTCTTTCCACTCATTTGCATCAACTTTCCTTTGAAAATTGGTATAATTTTGCTGACTTTTTGGGGCGGGAGTTCAAAGGCTGAATTTACGGGCGTTCCTGACGTTTTCACATCTGGTGGCTCTGCTACTCCTGGTATTTCTGCTCCCTTACGGCTGCTCCAAGCGTGTGTTTCTGGCTCTTTGATCAAACGCTCCATCCAGTGGCTGTTTTCCGTAGTGCGCGGGGAAGAAATCCCAGGCAAAGTCTGTTTCCTTGGAGGAGACTGCGTTAGAGATACTACACAGACCATCTCGCCAGCCAGTTTCACATGCTTAGATTCTATTTCCTGCAATACAACAAGAGTCGCTAAATTGAATTAACTGGATTTAAAAATCTGACAGTGCCAATTAATGCATCACTGTATGACACCAACCTGATATACGCCACAACAGAGAACCATACATTTTCCTGTTTCGCATTAGAACAAACTGGATTTTTTAAACAATATTTTGTTGTCACTGCAAATGAAGATTTTTCTTCTCTTCCCCCAATTCTTTGTTTATAAACTATGCTGGAATGCAGTGCTCTTCAGAAGGAAAGACTTAAATTACAGTCATTATCATGGTTTAGTGCTTTCCACCTGGGTAATGCCTACCCCTTTTGAGGGGCTCTGCAGAGAGTTTGACTGACAGGGCCCCTCGTCTCCTAAGATGTCTAAGGGCATCTGTGCTCTGAGCAAAAGACAGCCGAGATGTCTGTAAAACCTGCAGGCAACCAAGAGGAGCCATTCTAGCTTTGATCACTGAAGAGACAGACATAAACAGGAACCACTCTCCGAAAGAGGATTACAGTATTTTAGAATCTCTGCAGTTTCTGTCACTATTCTTTGTTTAGAATTAATGACTTCACTACTTCTTTCACACACTACTACCAAAGAAATTGGAGTCCCAGCCTTTGTCACAACCTCAAATTAAAAGAATTTTGATTGCTTGTCTCCTTTCCATCCCCAGCCACGGAGTAAATCTTACAGCTTGAGTGTTTTTAAATGCAGAAGTCCACAGAACTTTATATTTTCTCTTGGTTTGTGGTTTTTAATATGTAATTCTTCATAATAATAATAATAACAACAACAATAATGACAACAATTATTTTGATTATAGCTATTATTATTATGGACGAGGTGTGAGAAGGTTCTGGATATCCAACTGTAAAATAAAGTCTCTAGAACTGCAAACATTGATAGCAACTAAGTCAAATTTTTTAGCATGAACAACAACATAACAATGGCAAATAACAATATAATATTTAATTACACATTTAATTAAAAGTGACACGATTTTTGTTGTGAAAAGCACGCTTTCACACTCTTACCGTGTTCCAGTACCACTCCACACCACGAACAAAGTACCACCATTAACAGGTTTCCAAAAAGCCCTTACACGCACCGGAGCCCTGGAGAGTTCCTGCGTAGCATAAAGTGCTTTACTGGTCATCTTCACTGGGAATCCACACAGATGTGACAGATCACGCTTCATGTCAGAAACAAAAGAGTTCAACACCCTTTCTGAGTCTGTCCGAGGGAAATACTGCACCGGCTGACTTCGAACGCAGCTCAAAGGGTACCTGAATAAGTGTTCAGGGACGTGTGACAAGTTTGGTGACATTTCTACACTTAGGAATCCGCTGAGAAGACAGCATGGACACGCTTACAGCTTTTTCAGAGAGGAGAACAAAAGCACTGACTTTCTTAAGGGACTGGAGCGTACAAAGCTCCAGGACTTCAACATGATTCTACCATACTAACCTGCCACAGTAAAGGGTACTCAACACAAGTAATCCTTAGTCTAGTCTCTCCTAGCAGGAAAATTCTCTTTAAAACAAATCTTCGTGGGCCACATTTGTACAGGAATTTAACTCTTCCTTTTACATCACTGTTTAGAGTGGCATTATCGTGGTTACTGTGAAGCAAACCAACCTATCTGACCTCCTGTTATTCAATACTAGGATGAAAAGACTTGACTAAATATTTTGCTCCAGTTTGCCTAGTGAAACAATTCCCCACTGACTTCTTCAGCACTATGGAAGACGTAAATGTGGCACAGTCAAAAATGAAAATTCAGATCTTCGTTAGAAGTGTGGTAGAGGAAATGTAACAAAAATACTCTGAAAGGATACGTGAAGAACCTTTCCCCTATTGGCTTGAAGTAAACACTGAAGTATATTTTTGTCCCGTCAGGATCCTCTGGGAGAACATATCCATACTTAAAGAAACACACAAGCAAACCTATATGACAAATACAAACTCAACAGGTACAAGAAAGGGAGGGAAAAACAAAAGCAGCGCCTATTGTTTCCTACCAGATCCTTCCAGTGCATCCGAAATTCTTCGTACGAACGGAAAGGAGATTCTGGAGGAATCATGTGGCTGATGTTTATGATCTGACCCATCTTCATGCTGTGCGTGGGTAAAGAAGGGACACTTGGAAAGGGCGGCCCAAAACTCAGCTGAAAATGCACTGGACTTTTGGGAAATAAAAGTAAATCTTTTTTTTTTTTGGCATTGAAAGTATTTATACATTAGTTTTATGTTTTGAGGGCTAATACCTGTAGCTTATAAGTTTATGACAGAACAATAGCAATATTCTTGAAGCATGGAAAAGAACTTGGTACCTACAAGGCTAATTTCCCTTGTCTGCAATACTCACTCCCAGTGAATGTAGAATAAAAGCAAATATCCATAAGATTGCTTATATTTTTATGGTGAAAATCACAGGTGAAAATAGAGATAGTTTGTGGTAAAGGTGGAAATGTATCTTTTCTTTAAATTTACACTTTCTGCTAAAATTATATTCAAGAAAAATCAATGCTCTTGCACATCACAGAAGTAGCAGGGAGATTAGTAACATTGAAACAACATTTAAATGTGTAATTTATAACTCACTGATTAGTTTTTCTCATTTCCCATAACATGGACACCCTAAAAGTAAAAAGAGAGACTCCTGGATGTAACACAGACGGTAAAGCAGAAGTGTTCTTATCACTAGTATCAATTTCACAGTTTGTATGGCAAACATTCCCGGAAATGTTTGTTTCTGCTGAAAGGTAAACAGACTCCTACCTTGGCAAAACATAGCACCAGTCACTTAATATGGAATGCTGGGGGATAACTGTATTGCCATTGCTCTCAAATAGCCTTAAGGTGTTTGCTGAAATATCAAAATCTCCCAGCTTAAAACAGAACAGAAAAAGTTACTTGCAAATCTTTCTGTAGCAGTGCAAAATTAAAATTTTCAAAAATAACTGTGTATCACCGCACACTGAAGCGTACACATTACTACCCTTTTATCATCTCCCACAGACTGATTATTTTAGAAGGTATTCCCGTTATCAAATTGCACTCTCTCTCATCTTAGAGCCTACACTTCCAAAAGTTACACAAGCCAAGGTTTAAAGGCTACTTAAGTCAGTGAGATTTAAACTTTTTTTGAAGCGTTTTGGCAAGTCAGAGTACAGAAGGGATTTCTCAGACTAAGAACTGTCTCACCCCCATGCACATTTTTTAAAGTTCAACTCAGAAAGCCACGTTTGACACCAGAAACTGCGTGTGCCACCTTGCCTAAGCAAGTGCAAAGCAGCAGCAGAATTAACGGGACGTCCAGTGTGACCCTGTGAGAAGTCAAAAACGACCACGTGCTTCCACAACGTGAAATTATTTGCCTGTAGGGGCCAATCCAACGCTGAAATCTGAGAAATGTTTCCTCCCTCTACCAGGGATTGCATTTATCCACTGACAAGAAAATCGGGCCATTTTTGGTTTAGAAAAGTATTAAAATGACCAAACCGATAACAGAGCCACATCATGATTGCTTCCATCATTCCTTTGTCATTTTGGAACGGGATTCCTACAGACAGCTTTAATGCTTATGCTGTCCAAGAAGGTCACAGAAGAAATCCTGTTCTTCTGTTCTAAGAAGGAAGAGTTTGGATCAGAAATACTTATTTTGGAAGAAACCAGCAAGCCTGACAAATATGCCCCTGTATGTACGGACACGTTTGACAAAGGTGACGTGGCGGTCAGAAACGATGGTAATTTTGCAACCCCAACCATGATTTCTTAAAGAATTTAATGATGCTCACAAGCCGCGTAGCCCAGGCTGCTCCGGTATTTTGGAAGCTGCATGGAAAACGAAGCAGATTCCAGAATAATTATACAGAGGGACTTCAAGCATAGCGCTGACAACGGCAGCTTCACTTTTAAGATGTTACTCAAAACTGTCTGTGTATTGCAGCGAGACAGTGAATGCCGCCTAGAAAACACTGCTAGAAGGAAATCCAGAGCCATAAAGACACTTTGCTACTACATCCTGTTGGCAGGTTTTGAAAAGTCTCTTAATTAGTCTAGAACCTCAGTTTTACCGTGCTTGCTGGAAAGCATCAGCACAGACAGAATACGGATGTTAGGCGCTTACAACAGGAGCAGACAGGGAGCACGACTGCTGTCGTAACGCCACCAGGGATCAGCCCGGCTGCCCCCACCGCGCTCACTGCAAGTCAGAAGGGACACAAAAGAAGATGAAGACTAATAAGACAAACATGATCATAGCAAATAGAACTGTTTTCTACCTCAGGGGGTGGCAAGCGAATGGAGCAAGCCTCCACGCTGACGCAAAGCTGCCTCTCTGACACGTTGAGGTCTAGAACTAACAGAAAAACAAAGCACAAAGCCCTGGTTTGAACTGCAGTCCACCTGGCAGACAGAAAGCTAACCCAAAGGTTTATTTCAAATAATTGTTAGTCCAAATGCTGCGTTTGGAAATCAAAAGGCTAGACTTGCATGGGATTTAAAATTAAGTTCATTTTAACTGTGGAAAATGAAAATAACAATGAATTACGATCCATCCAGTGCACCCCCCTGGGAACTCACGGCTGTCAGTGCAACTGGATGCTCGATCCTCCCGTCCTTGACACACATCCCCCCCATTTTCAAAGCAAACACAGTTCTTCCAACCACCGCCCATCCTGAGCCACCATCTAGCCCGGCGTTAGGCGACCAAAAGTGACTGACAGGAAAGACTACGTGAGCGAGGCGAGCATTTATTGACACGTCTCCAGAGCACTCACCCAGGTCTGAGCAAGCTGCAGGCCAGGACTAAGTGTATTCTGTCCCGCCACACCTGTCCCCGTTACAAAGGCAGGCCTCAATATCCCCAGTCTAATCTTTGACTTTCATACTGGACTAAAACTCCTGCTTTGTCATTTCTGCGATAGCTCAGCAGCCCGCCTTGGGACTTGGCTTCTGCGAGCACAGACACGGCACGTACAGGACAGCTGCTGCAGCTCATCTTCCTGTCTGTTATTATGGAACTTCTATTTCACTTGCAAGACTCACAATTTGAGGCAAGTGGGTTTAATTGCAATAATCATAACTTTTAAAGGGCAAGTTTCCATCTACAGCTGCAGATTAATAGTAGAAAAATAACCTTTTTTTGTGGGTAATTTTTCAAAGGTGCAGTTAGGCTGACAACCATTACACACGTCACCTGCCATCGAGTGTATTTTGACTGTTATTTCAGAGTGGAAAACGAAAAGACATTGTGTTGGTAATACCCAGATCACGGCCGTACGACAGCACGTAACGCCATGGCTCGCTCTCACAAGTTCACCATTAACACAGCAGCGCACTTACCGACAGCATTTTGCCTTCCGGAATGAGACAAAAAATCTTTTCCTTAATAAATAAAACAGATAGATGTTATTTTCTAAACCATACGCCTAACGTCTTTGTGCAGAAAATGAAAAAGGAGAAATCGCACAGTTCCGTTTCTGTGTGTCATGAACGCTGACAGGTTTGTTCCTTTTAAGGCGAGGAAACCCCTCTATCAATTAACTCGTCACAGTTTCATTAACAACAAAAAGAAAGATAAATGAAAGTATATTAGCAGACAGCAACTTCTACATGCTTTTTTCCTTAGTTCATACATGGAACTATTTTTAATTGACTAATAGTTAATAACTTTCTCAGGTTCAAAAGCCAATCTGTACAGTACTACTACATATTTTACCATATATCATCAGTTTTGCCCAGCTTTAGCAACGTAGATGACTAGACAAGCTGCAGGGACCGGGGTCACATTGCTGTTAGTCAACATCTTTCGTTGAAACCAGCTTTATTTCAGCTACCATCCAGCCCTGCTCCCAGCCTGAACAAGCTGCCTTCCTTCATGGATCGGTGCAACCGCTCTGCTCCATCCGAGCACCCCCGGTATCTGACACACAGCCCTTGTGCCGCGCTTTGGTAATCCCCATTTAACCGACGCCAGGGTTAGCAGAGATGTCAGGGAAAGAAGCTACCACCTGAAAAGACAGAGCTTGGGAGAAGGAGAGGGTCTGACAGAAAGGCACGCAAACCACGTACAGAAGTGCCACTGATGAACACAGGGATCTGAAAAGCGGACCAAATTTTTAGAAGACATTTACTGTCCAACAATATTTGGTTTGGAAATTACTATATCTGGTATGCCGTGTTCAGTTGAAATAAGAATTCGGTCTATTACAAAGATGAGGAGGAAGATGAAAAAGTGAATGATGTGTCTATTCAGATTGTTAACTTGAATCACTGAACTTGGACAAAGGGACAATAAAAATGCAATCAAAGAAAAAAAACATAGGATAAATGAATGAAATAATTCGATATAATGAATAACAATGGAAACGAAATTATGGAAAATAAAGGCAACAGTAAAGAATTGAAAATTAAATGCTCGACCCCTGAGCCAGGCGAGTCAAATACCTTGCACCAAGAGATGACCGGCCTTGTTCCATCGGGGCGCAAGTCTGGCTGTGAGTGTGTAGGAGAGACAGGCTTGGAGGGTGGCTGGACTCACTGTTCGTGGTGCTTCCAGCTAGTAACACCAGCGAGAAAAGGAAAACACACTCTTAACGATTTAACAAATTTTTTTAAAGGCTTCAGTCAAAATTTAATCAAAGATACCGCTACTGCCATCTTGGAGGCAAATCCTGGTCTCTGTTAGACATATTTACTTGTCATCTACTTAGCTACCAGAGGAAGTGAGCACTTTGATACTCGATGCAGGCATTTAGACTTCAGGGGTCACCAAAGTGAGGTGCACTACAATTCGTTTCATGTTTTCACAGGGCTGACAACAGACTCGGGGAAAAGATGAACTGCACCACAGTACTTTACTCAGTACACATCTCCTTCCAGACAACAGGCACAGCATCCAAAATTCACCCACATCAACTCTGCTGTCAGACTCCACACCAGAGGCACTTCCTTGCAACAACAAGAACAACAGATCCAGGAAGCTTTGTTCCCCCAGCAGTACTGCTTGCCTGTCCTGCAGAGCTTTCTGTTGAGCGTGAGCATTGGTCAAGAAAACGAAACTAATTACAATGGTTAAAAAGAGTTAACTAACACACCTCCAGGAGGCTGTTTCTAATGAGATCCTGCAAGGACCTGCTTGCAGCTCATGGTTATTGAATCTACCCTGTACTACTAATCTGCCAGCTTTGGAAAACCTAACACTGACAGGTCGGTTACACACCTCACCTCTAAGCAGTTTTGGGAGGTATTTACCGAACACTATGTGTCTCACTAATCCAGGCACGTGTTGGGACTTCCCAGAACGCAGGAAAATACACCCAACTGTGGCGCAAATGAATCACAACAGCCGCTGCCTGAGGTCACAACCAGCCGTTGGAGTCAGCCACTTTGTGCGCCCACACGCACACACCCACAACCGCTGCTCGCTGGAAGACACCAAAGCGCAACGGCCTAACGATGCAGCAGCTGTTAAGCTCATGGGTTCTGTTTCTTCTCTGGTTTTGGTCGTTTCTCTGAGACTGACCTAGTCAGGCTGGATAGTCCCAAAGCGTGAGTGGGGAGACAGCTCAGCTGTGTGGACACCCCCGGTGTGAACAGCCCCACCCACGCCGAGCGGGGTCACCAGCAGGAGGGCTGCAGGTCTTCGGCCCGGAGGGCAGGTGTGGCGATGCCTCGAGGTCGAAGCTCAACACTCCTGAGCAGGAGCAGGATCCCACCACAGCAGAGAAATCCAGTGAAACTGCTCAGGAACGTCTTAAAACTTTTGAGTCTGACAGAGTAACCTACTATACCCAGATTCATGAGAGAGGTTTTGTCTACGGGACAGACTTTTTTTACCCTAAAACTCGGTTTCTGCAGTGCAAATTGCGTGGCCTATGAAAAAAACTCATCTCTGGCAACAGCCATTGCAGACAGTTGTGTAACAACCTTAAGAACTGTGACATCTCTCAGCACTTACGGTGGCTCTTTGGTTCTCTATGTAGGCTTGACATAGCCCTGATCTGTAAAATGGTATCTAAAAATAAAAAAATAAATAAGTTCAGGTGTCTGAAATTAAGGGGTGGTTTAGCAAATCATAAATGAAATTCTGGCCCATCAGTGACTTTGCCTAAGAAAAACACGCTAAGGGATAGGTAAAGCAAACACTATTTCTTGCATTTTAAAGGAGAATGATAACTAAAATTAGTTCAGGCATTTGTCAAGGTGTAATCTCACTTTCAGCGTAAGATACATGAACATGAAGCAAAAGACAGCCCAAACCCAAATCATAGCACTCCGTCCCTGCCGCTCTCATTGTGAAGCGGGTGGTCCCTTACCAACCGAGTCCTTTCTCTTTCCACAGAGGGTTCACCATCCGAAAAGGCCATTTCACCAAAAGAGTAGCAGACATAAGCTGTCATCTACACTACTAATGCACAAAAATAGAAGTTTGCTTCAAAAGACAGAATTTTGCCCTTTTTTTGTCCCTGAATGGCAGCTGGCCTGACCCTTTGAGCAGGGGCGCCTCTCAAGGTCAGGGGTTCCCTGCCTGAGCCGAAGAGATCCTCCTCTGCTCAAGGCAGAGCGATCCCTGACCCACGACAGAGCCTCACGACATGCTGAGTTAACACCATGAAGCATCACCAACCCGTGTAGCTGCTCAGACGTTATAACCATCGTGTGGATAATTCCATTAGACATGAACCATTGAGCAAGTCCGAGGCTAAAACTGGATCCAGCCACACCTCGGCTCCAAGAAGGAGTTTAGCAAGGAGGTCCACTCTGAGCCTCGTGACTCAGCAGGAGGGTTCTCTCTACTCTTCGTGCCTCCAGCCTCTGCAGGAGCCATTCTAACTCAGTTTTCCTTTGCATGTTGCTTCCATGCAGTAATTAATAAGGTGAACCTTGCCATCAAACCTATTGAACCTTGTCGAACCACTGTAAGACTTTGTTAAATCCCATCAAACTTGTTGAACTCTGTCAAGTTATTATTTTACCTCAATAAAAACATGAGTGAGGTGCATTGCACTCATCTGCAACAGTATGTAACTACACACAGTTATCCACGCTGTGATACCCACCGCCATTACCACTGAAATCTGATTGAGCGTTCCAATAACGGGTGCAGAAAGGATGTCTTGATGCAGGAATAATAACTGTCTGTCAAAAAAAATGTTCAACAAAATTAAGAAATAATTTTCCATACTTGATTTTCTCAGCTTAAATGTATTTTCCTCACTTCTCCAAACATAATATGTTCTGCTTTTAATCGGTGTCCTGCTCTGTCTGGGACAGAGCCCAGCCCACCAGGCCCGGCAGGCCCTTAGCAGCCCCAGCCAGGGCAGTGACCTGAGTGAGCCACGGGGTAGCCCATCCCCTAACACCGTGGTCAGTATAAAGGGGGAGGTTTGGTGGGGAGAGGGGGCTCCTGGGGGGTTCCTGCTGTGGGCTGTGAGGGCCAGACTCTCTGGGCTGAGCATAACTTTGCAGATTGTATTTGTTTTCCTATTTCATTAAATCTGTCCTTGCTTCATCCTTCAGCTCCCCTCTCCTTTTTCTCAGCTGGGGGGGGTTATCGGGTGGCACAATCGCTGCTGTGGTTTAGCCCTGGTATGGGCTGAAGGTAGACAGTCGGTTTCCAGTGGGTCAGCACAACATACTGGGCTGCTCCAGGGTACTTGCTCTTAACCCACCCGCAGTGGCCTAAGACAAAGACTATAGGCCTTCGGTACGGGGCCAGAACTCTCCAAAAGTGCTCCTTTTGGCAAAATTTCTCATTTCTCTCCATTCCTGTCAAAGGGAATGACCTAACGCTTGTAAACACAAAGCAGTGTGCTTATGCTTTCTGAGTATTCTTTTCGCTCTGTCTCAACCTACATGAAGCATTCCCAACTTACAAGTGAACTCGGACTAATTTTAACTTATTTTGAAGTAGGTGGCCTTGTTAGTTTTAGCTGATCACATTTAAAATGGAATAGAAATGAGGGGGTTTTCCCCAATAGCCATCAAGTCCCCCACCAAAAAAAAAAAAAACCAACCCCAAACTACTTTGAACCATCTTATACTGTTTGCTACTGATAAGAATTTTACTGATTTTTATTATGGTTAATTCTAGTACTGCTAATAAAATGCTTGAATAACGACCACCAACAGCTTCTGAAAATAATAACTCTTGAAATTCTTTACCTGCAAATCTTGATCTGTGCACTCCTTGTCTCAGCTTCTGGTATCCGAGGACTCAGTGTTACCGTAGCGGCACAGAGCTTTTGTAGCTCTGGCAGAGCAGCAAAGAACAGAGACTGGTGCCTGCTGTCAGTCATGTTGTGGTGTCGGTAGCCCCAAAGCAGCACCTGGGTCTTAAAACAAAAATTTTAATTCGTTTTTATAAGGCAGATACTTGTTTACAGACCTTTAGATGTATATGGTATCAGGTAAACGAATAATCAATTATCTTCTGATTAGGAATATAATCAGGCAATATAATTCGGTCAGTCAAGCTCAATATACTTTTGCTATAGCTAATATGTTATCCTTGAAAAAAACGTTATTTACGAGAGTCAAAATAGTCAAAGACAATGACAAAAGGCTCCTTTCCACCTTCTCAGTCTACGCCGGGGCTGGAATCTCTCTGGGATGCAGGAGCTGAGGAATCCCTCGGCGGTGGCGGCCCCCTCCTGCCTGGCAAGGCCGTTGAGCTCCCAGGAGCTCGCCAGCGGTCTCCTCACGAAGTCACACGAGGACGGCGGCCGGGCTGTGGGAGAGAAGGAAGACCACGGCGGCACCCTGGAGATCTCTTCCTTTTTCCCCACTCCAGCCTCCCTCCCTAGTGGCACAGGAACTCGTGAGCTCCCTGCTCGAACCCCCCTCTCTGCTCCAGCGGCCGGTGAGCGCCGTATTCTAACCGGTACAGAACTGGGCACAGCCTTACGCCAGAGCGACAGCCGCGCTAATCCAGACCCCCACTCAGCAGAATGATTAATAACAACACAGGCAAGTTGTTCTCCCGTTCTCAAAGGAGCAATGTATGAAGAACAGAGTTTTGTTTTGTTAATAAGTCCACAAGATGAAGAAAACACAGCTGATATTCGGAGTGGAATGCAGTTAGACATGTAGTGGTTCTACCAAAGCTCTCTCTCACACCCTAAGTTTTGCCTTATAACAGAAATTATTGACTATGCCTTGTGTCCAAGAGCATAAGGCAGGTCTGGGCTCAGGCCACAACCACCATCTTGAAGTGGCCACGGCCTGACACTTCACACAAAGTGAGGGTACGGGGTACGTGTGCGTTCGTTGCCACACCACTGAGCAGATGGTCTGCAACACTGTCATTTTGGGAACTTCCTGAAAAGCACCAAAAAAGAAGAACCAGAAGCACCAGAATTTCGGACAGCATGTGATCCTTTGATGGAGGACTGACGAATTTCATGTGGGTGGGAGTAATACGAAGTTAGGGCTGTAAACTGGCCTGTTGTTGTACATTCTTATGTATTGCAGCACAGGCCAGGCTCAGTGAAAAAGAACTAGAATATTTACAACCAAGAAAAAGAACATCTAACATTTCATCATTTAAAGGAAATGCACCTTTTAATTATAGCACCTTTCTCAATCAAAATGTTTCCAAGAAAAACAGGCAGGTGGAAGGCCTGCTTGTTACGAAAAGCCAGGAACAAACGCTGCACACCAGAAAAAGCTGGTTTAGTAGTTCTCCCCCCTCCAAACCCTAAAACCCTTTCGGGAAATGGTCTCACCAGCGCAGTGAAGATAACAATAAATATTTTGTTTCCAAATCTTATGCAGTCTCCAGATAGACACCTGAAAAGCAATTTTGCAAACCGTGATCAAAAAATGATGAACTGGAAATATCTTTTGAGGATGTCAAAGGTAATTTTGCTGTTCTGGTTCTGCTTTGCCTTGCTTACAGTGTAACACACTGGAAAGATTAACCTCAGTCACATCCTAGAAAAATCACAAGGTCAATGTTTCATAACCGTAATTTAAAAGAAAATAACATGCTTCCTTGTTTCTTACCCTTAAAGGAAAACACATTTCAAGTTTTTCATAGCGATCATGAAAAGTAGACTTTTTTTCAAATGCCAGACAAGATTATCACTTCATCAGAGGATTCCAAAAGCTACAGCTTAAGGGAAAGGACCATTTTAAACAAATGAGGAAAAAAATCTCGTCCATTTCCGAAGACAGAAAGGAAAGGCTGCAACCTCAGCTTTCATAATATTTAAAAGAATCCTAAATGGCCAACCGGGGACTCTTGTGGCAAAGATGTTGTAAAACCCACGCTGCAACACGGTAGTGATCCCCTTGCTGTTTGAGGCCAGCTCCCCCGAGTTAAATCTTCCCCATCATCTTAAAAGCTAATGGGACAGAGTGCTTGCAAAAAGCTTCTCCCTTCAGGGGAGAGGAGAGAGAGTGAGCTACCAGTTAACAGAGAGCAGCCAGTTATAAATCGTAGGAATAAACCCCGCTGCCTTCTGTTCAGGTGGGAGAACTTAATGTGCGTGGGAGAAATTACACCTCCAGATGCCAATAATCACAACACATGAACTCAAAACCACCGCAGAGCTCTTGCCATGCTGAACAGGACAGCAGGGAGTGGCTATCGCCGGCTTTCGCTCAGAACAGACAGGTAAATCACACAGCTTGGCGGTGGTTTTGTTATTTTCATTAGCGACTTGCAAGACGGAATGAAGACCCTCCTTGCTAAATCTGAGAACACCACGGAGCTGCGAGGGACAGCAGCTGCTCCTCCTGTTGGGCTGACTGCAATGACCCAGAGACGGGAGCTGAAGACCGTGGTGGCGTTCAGCAAGGAGCACGAAGCCGCCCCGCACGCGGATAACCGCCAGCACCCGCACAGGGCCCCGACCTAAGCACCAGCCTTGAGGAAAGGTGCCTCGACAGGTCACGCTGGGTAAACTCGGTGTCGCTGAAGTTACGCTGTGAATAAACCCCACAATAAAACCGCGGCCTGTCATCGTGCCAGAGGTGCGCACGGCGCTCTTGCTGTTGAGGCACCCAAGCAGCGCGCGGGCGTGACAGCACGGGGTGCTGCCCTGATGCGGGGGGGACGCACACCTACCCTGGCCCCACAAGCAAACAAAGCCACCAAACACATGAGGCCCGAGCGAAGGAACCGGGTTGGAGCTTACACCAAACTGCAGGAAA